ATCAAGGCTCACCAGTCTCCGAGGCGACGACCGGTCGATTGGCTGCCTCTCGAGACCACCAGAAAGTGCTGCTTGCCCCTGCCTCGGCCGCCCCCTCGTCGACCCTCCTCGGCTGCTCCTCTGCGTCATCCTCATCCTCCTCCGCCCTCGAAACTCATCCCTCCCTCTCCTCCTCCTCTTCTTCCTCCTCATCATCTTCATCCTCATCTTCATCATCTGCTTCGTCTGTCGTTGTCTCTTCCGCCTCTCTTGCTGTTGCTGCGGCTGCAGCCGCAGTGACCGTTGTTGCCGCCTCATTAGCCTCGCAGTCGCCTTTTGGAATACTCTCCAGGCAGCAGGCACCTGCGGTCCAACTGCCTCTGCATCTGGTAAACGCAGGATATGCTCAACACGCCACAACGACGCCAAGTCAACACTATCATGGACACAACACCAGACCATACCCCGGAAATCAGGTAGGCTAGTTTGTCACCAGACAGCCCGGCCTAATTTGCGCACCAAAAGAGTTAGTTCAACCTCTTTTTATGGCCCCTTCAACCTACAGAGTCCTGCCATGACCATTTGGGCTAAACTCCACTTGATACTAAATACGAATAAGTGGGTTGTGATGAATCTCTTAGATTAGTTTGGCTTTATTTTGACCTTCTAGATGACGTATTCCATGAGACATCCCCCTTGGTTTCGGGGGAATCTTGGCCGAACTTTCATCTTCATGTGACGGACATCATCAGAGCTGGGACTTATTGTTGTAAAAGCTTTAGGATAACACTAACTCACGAACACATGCTATCTATACTTATGTATAACAACAAAAAGTGACAGTATAATTACCTCGATTATAATCAAAGAGAATTGACCACATCATTATATATCCATATATGCCAATATAATTACGTTTTTAGCTATGAATATATTGAGCATAGCTTCTTGATTGCTTGACGGGTTCTGATGATGCTCATCATATGATGGACGAAATGTTGGCCCATTTCTAACCGAAACTAGTTAGGATATCTTGTGGACTGCTTCAATCTG